GAAAGCTTTGCCAGGGCACCCCCAGAAAGCCTTGGGTAGATGGGGAGACTTGCGGGGTGGGGACTAGGGCTCCAGGGCATCCCTCACCTGGATGGGCTTCTCCATGTCCCCATCACACAGGGACACCAGTGGCACAGTGAATGGCTTCCACACAGGGTCCAGCGTGTACTTGATCACCTATAGGACAGTGAGGGATGAGGATGAGCTCGGGCCTGGGACAGCATTGCTCTGGGGTTCGGGGTTGGGAAACAGGGAATGGCAAGATGGAGAGCCCCACAACCACACTTCTAGGGATGCCAGTGGGCATCTCTGTGGCGGGGAGGGTCCCTTGGGTGCCATCAGGGTGTCCCTGCACACCGCATGGCTGCGGGTGCACGGCCCCATCCCGAGCCATCGGAGGTGGCTGGACTTCAGACCCACTGGCCTAGAGACCCCCGGGCCCCCACGCACCCACCTCAGTCCTGTGGACCAGCATCCACTTGCCATCATCTCCTGGCTTATAGAATTCGAGAAATGGATCTGACTTCCCAAAGAGGTCCTAGAGGAAGCAGGAGGCGGTGGGTGAGGGAGAGAGAACTCTGCCGGATTCAGAGAGGAGAAGGGCATGGCCTAGCTGCCTCCCCAAGCCCAGGGGCAGGGGCAGGGCTGGGGGCGGAGGCAGCCTGGCCCCTCTCTCCTCAGCCTCTGCAAGGCTCAGCAAGAAGCCCAAGACGACTGCAGCCCCGTGGGACCAACTGCCTCCCCCAGGAGAAGCCACCCCGTCCTAAGGTTACCACGGCTCGTGCTCAGAGACCCTGTTGCCTGTAGCTGACAGGAGCTACGATGCCAGCATCTTAGATTGGGCAGGACTTCAAAAGGGTGGCTGTTCCCAGTGCAGGGGGCGGCCTCTACCAGGATGTGGTTTTAATTTATTGTAGTGGGAATCTGAAAAATAGCAGCTCTCCCAGCACGTGACAGAAGGGACAGGATGTCTTTTAAAAACCGATTTATTTATTTGTTTGTTTATTTATCGTTTTAAAGTGTCACTCTGAAGAGACTATATTCAAGTGGGGGAGACAGAAAATAAGTAAGTAATATGTGTTAGGCAGGAATTAGCGTTAAAGAGACAAGGAAAGCAGGAGGGGTGAGAACTCGGGGACCGCTACAATCTCAGGGAAGGCCTTGCTGAGGAGGTGACAAAGAACACGGGCCTGATGGAGGTGAGGGGGCCATTGCGAGAATATTCAGGGAAAAGAACATTGCAGGCGGCGGGAACGGCGAGGGCAAAGGTCCTGAGGCAGGAGGGGCCCCGGTTGTAATCCTGGGGGAAGAGGCTGCTTCAGCTGAAGCGTAATAAAGGTCGGGAGAGTGGAAGGTGTGAGGTCGGGGAGTCGGGGGCTGTGGCTACATCAGGTGGGGCCCTGTATGTTACCGGAAGGATCCTAGCGTTTACACAAAACGAGACGGGGCGTCCCAATGGGTGGGTCTTGACAAGCAGCCATGTTTGAATACCTCTAAGGCATGAGAAACTCATTACTTCAGTGATGAAGCGGTACTAATTTGGGGTGGCTAGTAGAGCCCTGTG